GTGATAAGCTAAATATAGAAATTATGCATGCAGTGTTATTGAGGGGGGGGGGGGGGGATGTTACAGTATGATCAAAGAATAAAAAAATCATCAATATCATTTTGTTTACATGTTTATTAAATTGTTTATGCATTGGTATTTCAGGATTTGGACTACTTAAGCGAAGGTCTTGAAGGAAGATCTTTCAATCCAGTTGCTCTTCTCTTCGACCAACTTCAGCGACCCAACACTGATCTAGGACTTGAACAAGGGTCTTGTCTCAAATGGATTTACAACCCTTCTCACAGTGTCAAGCACTTGGTCCTGGGGTGTGGCCCTCCAGGGGGGAGCTGGCATAACATGCATGGCTCTCAATTGACACTCAGCCTTAACAACTGGTTAGAGTTACCGGGATTGGAATTCCAGGACTGGTTACGAGAACATCGACATGAAGCAGTGCGTAAACCCTGCACTTTAGTGAAAAATAGAATTGAAAGTCCTGGAAACAGTTATGATCGTGCAACGACAAGCCATATTGCAGAGTATTATAAGGATTATGTTGACAAGATGGACTTGTCAGGCTATTTCTCAAATGATTCCAAAGTCCTATCAGTCAAGCATGGAAGTGATGGACTATGGGAGATTCATGGCGTAAAGGGAAATTACCCAGACGAGCTTGTACCATTTGCTGTCAATGCAAATAATGTCGTGCTTGCTACTGGTAACAGTGTTGCAAAGACTCTTGGAATTCCTGGTGAACGACACCAGTTTGTTTATCATCAAATGGAGGATTTGGAAAATCTTTTTGGGGACTTGGAAGTGTTAGACTCACAGCCAGATCCATGCTTGGTAGTCGGAGCTGGACTTTCAGCTGGTGATGCCATCCTTTCACTCTTATGCAAAGGCATCCCAGTCATACATGCAGTTCGCAGGAGTGTAAATGACCCAAGCATAATTTTCAATAACCTTACGCCGACAGTCTACCCTGAATATAGTCTTATTCGAGAGATGATGAAAGGTACTCATGACAAAGCTCTTGATGGTACTTACCAATGTTTAGCCAAGACCAAACTAGTGGAGATCCGTAAAAATAGAGAATGCATCCTGAAGAAAACAGATGGTACACTATTCAAGAAAAAAGTCTCATATGTCTTTATTCTCATTGGCATGAGTCCTGAACTGTCATTCTTACATGGAGTTAATTCACTTGGCATTGAGAAAAAACTTCCACTGGACAGCAAGAAAAATCCTGTAGATATAAATGCTTTTACTTATGAATGCAGTAATGAGCCAGGACTTTATGCTTTGGGTCCACTAGTGGGGGATAACTTTGTTCGGTTTGGTATGGGTGGAGGATTAGGAATAGCGAATCATTTGTTCAAAGACGACATGAATGCAATTATTTAAATATTCCATTTCTTCATACAACTATTCGAAAATAGCTAGGCATTCACACACAGACACAGAAAAGTACATATGATACACATTGCAATTGTTGCAGGTGACAAAGAACACTTACTGTATATGGTTCATTCACTAAAACAAATAAAAACATGCAACTGTAGCGTTTGAAGATTTAATAACTTGTCAAAATGCTTCTAAATCTTCACCTAGGTTTTTCTAACTTTTGGATTTTGAAAAAATATTAACACAGTCTTTATGCCTTTCCTTTTTTATTAGTTTTGTTTTACTGGTATGAAAATTTGGACTGATTAACTTTGGGTGAGACAATGCCAGCACATGTAGTCTTGCCTCCTTCAACTGTCTGAACAGAAGCTGTAATTTGAAATTTTCAGTATGATTGAATCTAATTTATACATATAATATATATAGCTAATGTGAAAATGGTGTATAATTTTTTTTCAATGTTCAAATTCTTCTCACACATTAAGGAACAATACTAATCTGTAGAGTTCTTCAGTTAAATCACAATATTGTTTACAGCATATATTCTTGTACAACATTTTTTTGCAGAGGTTTGGCTACTTATAAATAGAATCCTCCACTCCAGAAACCTAACCTTATCTAGAGTGCACACTGTATATCCATGAAACAGAACCAGATGATTGTCTAATTGCAGCTGCTATTTTGTAGTGGATGTTACTGGAGCAGAATAATGGAAACAGAAGCAAATTCTCACTGTGTCTTTTTGGTTCATGTCAGTGAATGTTTTGCTAGAAATAGTTGATAACTAAGTACTTTTAAGCACTACATGGCTAGCCATTGTTTCATGGGTATATGACGTGCACTCTAATGTCAATAGATCTTTATATTATTATACAAGTCTACAAATTTGGCATTAACTTTAGGGTGCTAAGGGGGGTGAGGGAGTACCAGGGCTGTAGCCACAAATTCCTGATTGGTCCGGTTTTCGAGGGTTTTCAGTTTTTCTTATATTTTTTTTCTTATTTTCCTTATATTTTTTCCACGAAAGCGTACCGGTGGCTATGGCCCTGAATACGAATCACATACATCAAATTTCACAAAATAATAAATATAGGCCGTTTCACATTTCACAAAAAATAAAAATGGTCAAATCATGGTTTCAATATAACCCCTTTGCCACCCTGTAAAATTCATTCAGGACCTTGGATATTTTTTTCAATGTACCACAATATAGCAGGGTTGTGACTGCCAAAGAGACTTAAACAGTCTGATATTTAAGTAGACCTGTGTAATGGTATTTTTGATCTATTGTACTCTATCTACAAGCACCAGCAATTATGACATTTTTATTTTTCATTATTTTTTATCACTTTACATTTGGATATAAACTGTAATAAAACATGGATTTGACTAAACTTGTTTGGTGTATTGTATACTTTCTATAATTTATAATTGTATAACTATCAACAGGGTTCATGCTACTCCTTAAACTCCTTGAAAACTCCTTGAATTCACATTTTCAAGGGCACTTGAAAAGCTCTTGAATTTTACGATTTTAGCAAAACTCCTTGAATTTTTGCTTTGATCATTACATGCATGGTTCTGAAATCGATCTAGTCAGAAAGATTTGAAAATCTGAAAGTCGGCCATGTGCAACCACCGTGTAAAACCTTAGCATATAGTAAGCTGAACATACTCCTTGAAAATTCATTTTTGGGTCCTTGTATCGTACTCCTTGATTTTAAGTGGTTACCTCGGCACGAACCCTGTATCAAGTTATCATGTCTTACCTAAAACTAATGCTATTTTGGGAGTTGTCCACGACTATCTAATAATTATGCTCTTTTCTTCCTTTCGTTTAAATATCTATGTATTACTCTTATTTACTTCGTATTTTCAATTTTCTGTTAGGCAGTGGAAATAGATTGAATTGAATTGTCATTGGCTCACCTGTTACTGTGGTTACATTGGTACTTTCCATCCTAACTATGAGTCAATATTAGACTGTGTGTGAGAAAAAGTATTTTCTTCTCCCCTTGTGCCACTTCAAACTCTGCACTCCTTGCACATCCAAGTCAGGAAAGAAAAACTGGGTTGAGAATGGAATGTAAAGAGGGACTGTAGACCCCTTGCATAATATGACAAAATAAATAAAAAATAAGGGCCAGTCAATGTCCATTGTATGGTCAAAACTGGTGCTTGTCCAGCCACATGCCTAATAGACCCCTGGCATGTGGTGTCAAAGCAGCTCAATTTGGAGGCCAAAAGAAAAGAATTTCAATCTCCTGAGAATCAAAAACCTATCGTTTTGCGCTCCAAATTGAGCTGCATTCTGAAGTACTGCAAGGGGTCTATAAATCTACCTATCAGTGTCCTTAGACTTCATTAACCTATAAACAGTCTGTGAAAATTATTCAAATCAGCGTAACATAGCAAATGTCTAATATTACTCCACCCACCAAGGGTTGAAGATTGCACAATGGTACACTAAAAAGGAGGAATGACATCTTAATCATGGTAACTAACRATTTGTATTTGGCTTAGATCCTTAAACTCTTAATATAATTCTTAAACTGGCAACTGTAACACCACCAACATGGCCACATATACCATCTTTATTTTGGCTCTCTTAATTGGGAAATGCTTGCAAAAGATCATTACCAAAAAACCCTTTTATGATTCATGTAGTCACATTGATCACTTGAAAAATAATTATTCATTAACCATGCACATGTGAACTATTGAAGCATTTATTACTATTTATAACAATTTTAGGCTTAAATATGGAGTTTTGCACACTTTGCAGTGATTACGAGACAATAATCACCGGTCAAGCAGTGATTATGAGATTTGCCAAAGCAAAATACTAAYGGTTTTTCATCCTGAATTCAGTCTTTTCTCTGATATTCAAGTATAAAATTACATTAGCTATTTAAAACAATATTATTAAAGTCAGGCTCAGTGAATATGGTGAACATTTACCTTGACTACATGTATACATCTTGGTAAACATTCACTTTGACCTTCAGCGAATAATCATTAGATATTAAAAGTGGGTATAAGCTGTGCAATTAAACCTGAAGTGTACTTGTACAGATATCGAGAAAGACATTTGTAGAATATTAGAGGCTTAGCCAYGTTTCTGAAATGTTTCTGCATTTAAACGAATGACTCCAGACCTAGACACAGTATGYTTGTGTGCTGGCTGCCATTCATCAACCTTACTACTATAATCTTTAGTTAGTAATTCCTTGATTGATGGAAGCCAAAAATCTAGACTTTGGAAGTTGTCAACATCACAGAAACATGAAAAATTGCTTAAAATTATGTGACTTTTTCGATTCCTTTAAAACGTACTGCAACTAGACCCCATACTTGTTTTGTGCATTGCAATGTAGTTAAGACATGTATATTCTAGTTAAATCTGTGAYGGCAAATCATAGATAAATCCTGTGTAAAGCAAGGGACCTCTGTTTTATGATTACAAAAGGTACTGTATGATATTTCTGCAGCATGTTACAACATTGCTACAACACCATCATACGTATACCAAAACCTCATACCATAAATTTTTCAATTGACCAGACTGGCAATCGTAATTTTGAATTTTTTAGTTTACTGATACTGTGATTTGTTTATTATTTGAACATTTCTAAAGTAACAAAGTTATGCAGTAGTATAATGAGATTGTGAACCATGATTACAGTGTATTGATCAAATTGACACGACAGTTAAAATTGAACACACACGAGTGGCAACAAACACTTTGATATAACCTATGGTGGTAACTTATTTCATTAATAATATTCTTACAGTCTTCAAACACTATAGATGCCAAGATGATACAAACATTATTAGTGATAGAATCTTTAAACTTTTCATTGTCATTTCAGTCATATACACCAGGTATTTGTTCATTCAGTTAAAGCTGAACCCGAGCTTGGAAGAATGTTTTCTTTTATCTATGAACTTCAGTTTTGTGAAGTAATTTTGGTGCCAGATTATTGCTGTTTGTTCTTCAGCTGTGCTCTCTTGCCTGTAATAGCCTGGAAGCCAGATTTGATGCTTGCTACAGAGCAACGAGAGCCACATGTTTCACACTGCAGAAAAAACAGCCTAGTTTCTTTTTGAAGGATTGTGTCGGGCGACCGACAAGTGTGGCAAGTTACATATTCCTCTGTTGACAAGGGAAAAAAATGTGATTATGAATTTTTTGATGTAAAAGCAATTGATAAAGACATTAGAAATCCTAATATTGATAGTCTTTTATTGCAACATCATCACTGTAGTGTTTCATTTGCCCATGACAAACAAGTCAGGGCTAAATATAATGGCCAGTTAATGTCCATCAACTGGTCAAAACTGGTGCTTGTTCAGCCACATGCCTAATAGACCCCTGGCATGTGACGTCAAAGCAGCTCAATTCGTAAGACAAAACAAAAGAATTTCAATCTCCTGGGAATTGGAAACCTATTGTTATATCCTCCAAATCGAGCGCCTGCATTCTGACGTGCTACAAGAGGTCAATAGGCCAGTCCTCTTGGCAAGTCAGGTCAGATGATGATTGTCCAGTCATCATGTCCTGCCATTGAACAGCCTTAATTTTTAGCAATGTTGATAACTACAGGTGCAGATCTGGGGGGGGGGGGGGGGTGCAGGGGGGGGGGGGGGGGGGGTGTATGGAAGACCTGGTTTATTACCATGGCAACTGCCAAATTTGATTCCAGTGCAAAAATTTTCTTTCATTCTAATGACCCCTTTTCAAAAGCCTAGATCTACCACTAATGTGCAACATTGTATTTTATGCACAAAGCACTCAACTAGCATGATTTTGAAATCTACTTTTGGCACAGGTATACCAAAATATTCTTAATCTTTTAATTTTTATTTCACTTACTGATATATCTTCTTAACACAGTTTCTATCTGTTTTTGTTGGAAGCGACCCTTGATTATAAGCTGGTTATTTCCATCACATGAACCACTAGGAAAAAACAAGAAAATTTGCTACATAAACTCACAAAAAGAAAACATAAAACTTTTGATTGTTATTGAAGGCTCACCTTGTTCCTAACTCAGCCATCAAAAATGCTAATAAATGTTTTGGTTGCCGATGCAATCTGAAATAAAACAGAAAAGTCATTTCTTTTCCAGTCCAGAATCCTTAGACTCCAACTTCTGGGGATCAGGAAAATTTTTTGAAATGACAGCCATTTGAGTTATAAAGGGTAAAATCGTACTGTTACACTACTAATGCAACACCATTTGATGTGACCTATGTTCATGATAATAGCACATTCAAGTTGTTCGGGGTTTGATGTGGAATCTTAGCTGGTATAACATTTTCCCCTTACAAAGTAAGAATTACAGGAACTGTATGGATAAAACACTTACATTTTACAAATATCTGTGAAGTTAGCAAATGATGTCTTTTTAGAGCCTATTCTTACAACTTGTGGTGGTTTCATAACAAACTTCCTTTTTTCACCAGCAACCATGTCTGGATTCTTTGCTCTCATTATATCAAATACTCGCTCTAAAAGCTACAAGTACACAATTATAATCAAGCTTTTAGTATGGCATCACACAAACGTCTTCAAATTTTATTGATACTCAAAAAAAAAAAAATTAAAATCGGGGTTAGAATTAAAAATAGAAAAACAACCCTGATCGAGAGAGATCTAACAAGCTCTATTCATATGTGTTGCTGAGTCCAGGAATTACAGCCATTCCCAATCAAACGAGCCCTCTAGCGATTGTTTCTATTGCGACAAAGAAGGTTTTGGTGGACGTCAATCACAAGACATTTCCATAACAATGTCGGAAAACACAAAGCTATAAGGGCACTTGCCTATGGAATGTCATGGAAACGCCTTGAATGATGTATACCAAAAGCTTCTTCATCGCAACAGAAACAATTGCTAGAGTGGTGCGTGATCGAAAATGGCTGTAAACATGAGACCTTAGAGGTGAGATGTGAATGCACTACCAACTACAATCAATCATTCAACGATATTTTCAAGGTTCTGTAACTAAGATATAGAACTTTGTTTTTCTAGGGTATAAAATCAGATCTAAGCTACTGATGTATTGTTCTATAAGCCTACCTCATCATATGTATATTCTCTGTCCTCAGCTGCCATTACATCCTCTGCCTCATTGCCTTCTCCTTCATCCTCCCCAGATTCTGCTCCATTCTCCATCGCCTTTTCTGCCGACTCTTTGTCAATAGTTATCTGTATGTCAAGTAATGTCAAACAGTCATCATATCCTTGTTTAGTTTTGAGATCATTGTGTTTGTAAACATTCACATAATAGGGTTAATATGCTAACTGTTTTATGATAGATCTTGTAAATGTGGGATTGTGCAATTTGATAAGCAAATAGCCTTTATTGCAATATTACTGGTGTCCCACAGGGACGGTGGAACAGTTTTTAGAGTTGGGAGGGGGAGGGGTGGGGTAGGGGCTGCAGTCCTGTCCTCCCCTCCCCGTTTTGAGGTGAACTTTTTTCTTATTGCTAGGCAAAACCGGGGGGGGGGTACTCACATATATGGACTACACGGGGATGATCCGCTGAACAGGGTATGGTTTTACCAGCTTCTTGTCATAAACAGGGTATGCAATTTCACTCAAGGTCCAAATTCTTTCCGAGATTCTTGTCATATTCAGGATTTCTACTTTTGTTTTGACCGAAACTGGTTATTATGGTCGTAAAAAAAAAAACGATACGCGAGATGACATGATAATTGAAACAGGAACTCAGTGCAATAAATTATATCTTTTGTCATGAACAGGGTCTACAAATTTGAGTTTATTTGTCATAAACAGGGTACCCCTTTCAGAATCCCAGCGGAACACCCCTACCCAAATTCTGGCGGAGTACCCCCCCCCCCCCGGGGGCAAAACGAAAATATAATTATCATTAAAAGCCTATAGCACGAGATCAGAGATAAGGTTGGTGTTGGTGAGCACACTTGATAATAATAATGATAAAGATAATGATACTGTTATAGTGATAGTGATAGTGATAGTGATGATGATAGTCAAATTAATAAACAGCCTTCAAGCTGGGTAAAATGTAAGGTACCATTTTCTTACCTTTTTCTTTTTTTTCTTTTTCTTGGTGGGAAGATTGAAATCAAGCTCATCTAAATCTTGTGCTTCATCTACTGCATCATTTGCATCTTCTTTTTTTTCTGTCGATCCATCTGCTGTATCCTGAATTCCAAAAAAAGCAACAATTTAGTAAAGAAATAAAAAGTTCTTACTATACCAAAAAAAAAAAAAAAAAACCAGTTATAACAGGCTGGACATTGGACAGTGCCCGGTCAGAACTGGGACTTATATAGTCAACTCTTTGCCTTGTCGGTCATTTTGACCAGTAACATTTAGCCAGAAATGAGGTATGACTATGCTAAAACTAATTTGGCCTGTCATTATGTTTGTCATTATGACCGGCCATTATTTTTTGCCCTGAACAGTTGATGCCATTCCTATCCATCCACTGTTATCTTGGTAAGACAATGACCGTTTACCATACCAGATAACAGTAGATGTCATCCATAACAGTTGATGCCATTCCTACCCATCCACTGTTATCTTGGTAAGACAACGACCTTTTACCATACCAGATAACAGTAGATGTCATCCATAACAGTTGATGCCATTCCTATCCATCCACTGTTATCTTGGTAAGGCAACAACCTTTTACCATACCAGATAACAGTGTATGCCATCCATAACAGTTGATGCCATTCCTACCCATCCACTGTTATCTTRGCAAGGCAATGACCTTACCATACCAGATAACAGTAGACAACTGACAGTAGTACTTACTGGTAATGAATTCTCCAAGCTATCCATATCGAACACTTTCTTTTTCTTCTTTTTCTTTTTCTTCATTTCAGAAAAGTCTTCAAGGTCTAATGAAACATCTGCAATGTGCAAACATACAATGAGCTGATAAAGTTTCTTGGTATTTGATTCCATATTTAATCTGAGATTAGGCTATGCCTAAACTTAGATCAGCCCAGAGGTGGTTTTAGAGTTTTTGTCGCAACAGGTACATAGGAAATGTAGAGGTACAAGGGAACCTTACTCTAAGATCTTTTTTGATTGACAGTGCTGTAGTTCCAATTAACCTATCAGGAAAACAGTGGTGAAAATAGAAAACTTCTAATGCTTCATCTATCGAGGATGAGTGCAAATCAAAATCTGATGAAATACTTCTGGAAATTATACCAGTCAGACTTGAAAAAAATGACATATTTCTCTGATGCATGCAGAATACTTAGCAACAGAACAATAATACGAGGACCTTGGTTTGTCAAAATAAACATATGAGGATATACCAAAGAAAGGTTTGAATAAATTTATGAAATTCAGCCAGAAAAAAATTCGCATTTTGCAAATAACTGACCGGAAGCTATTTTTTCCCGTATATTTTTAAAGTATATTTAAGTTTATTCGTGATAAGAGAGACAAATTTCATAATTCAAGTGATTTTTTAAAATCTTTATCCACAAGATCACTGGTAATCTATTTTTAAAGCAAAAATCCTTGTACTTGACTTTATATGCGAGGCTATGGACAATAAACTATTTACAAGCTAGTTTGCTTGAATTTCATTACATTGGCTTAATTCACAACGTTATTAAACTAGCATTAAAGACATGGTGATGAATATGTGACGTCTAGATACAGATGTTCTTTATAATACAAATGGATTAGGATCTCTGTTTTAAAGTGAGATATCTTCTATTTTCAAGGGTAAATGGGGGTCTATTTCTCTCTTTAGAATCTTACGAGTAAGCTTACATCAATTATTCTCATACCTTTGGGTTCATCTTGTTCGTTATCGTTCGCCTCTGGAGCACCATCTTTATCCTCCACGACTCCTTCGCCTTCAAGTCCATCTAAATCTAAAGGAACCTTCTTCTTCTTCTTCTTCTTTTTCATAGTAGGATCAAACATCTTCAACAAGAACGACATTAAGTTTAATTTTTTTTGCACCACGAGATAAAAATGCCACTTTTAAAACATTAAAAAATGACATTTCAATACATAATAACCCGTATTTTTGGTAAAGAAAGATTATAAATATATGCTAACCATTTCATCTTCGGCCATTGTTGGGGATTAAAGTGTTCTGATTGCGAGAAAAGCGGAAAAATGAATTTCAATTTTTGATTTCCTTCGTGTTTTAAAGCATGCGACGCAAAATTGCATCAGCCAAATTGCGCATGCGTATTAGTCACGACCCAGTTTCCACTCGGTTCAAATATACAAAAATAATCCAAGGGTGGAGAGGGACAGTAAGAATGTCCTCGGAAAGAAAATTTGTAAAAGGTAGAGCTTTGTTAGGATTAGGAAACCATGGCTACTGAGGCACGTGAAAAAATGTCATAAAGAAATAAAAAATAAATTTTCCTTGTTTTAAGATGAGATAACTAGCTAAAAACTAGTGTGAGCTGCGTCGGTGTTTCTAATGAAACAGTAATGATAAAAAGGTAATACACCGTGAAAAGATGAAAAAACTTACTGACGTTTCGGACGCTATTCCTTCGTCGGAGTAAAAGAGAAAGATTTGGTAGAAAGGAATGTTTATATGATAGAATATAAATAATGAGTGTCCTACTGTGGCCTCGTTCGATGAGGAAATATTGGAATTTTATAGAAGCTGATTTTCAAGGAGGGAGGAAAACAGGTGAACCCGGACTGAGACAAAACCTCGAAGCACAGGAGAGAACCAACGACCAACTGTACTCCCAAATATGATGATGCGTCCAGGAATCGAAGTGGAAGGTAGAAGCTGATTTTCAAGTGAGAAATTCAAACAGGAGAACCTACCCCGCGAAGGAGAGAACCGACAAGAAAGTTTATTCACTTCTGTTGGTGCGTCCAGGAATCGAACCCAAGAACAGCGATGGGAGGCGGCGCATTAGCATCGCACAGCACCCATGCTCGCAAGATTGAAAGTCGAAAGCTATATTTGTGAAAATTGATTGTGAATATGATCTTTCCGTAAACCACAAAATGAAATATAAATATCAGAAAGGATAGAATCATARCATAATGGTTGCGCAAATTAACTGAAGCCTGTTTATTTAGGAAAATTAATAAAGCAAGGTATTAGATCTGCATTATATAACCTTAGCAAAGCAACAAAGGAACCAGACCTTTTTGGATTGTAATATAGCATTTGATGAACATGCATTGCGTTCGTAGCGCTACCGTCACCTGAAAAACTAGGGAGTTTTTCACGTAAAAAACCATATTAAAAAAAAAACCTGGACCCCGTTGAACGAAGAATAGTTAGCCAATCTTATGCAGTGGATAAATTTATTGGATAGCAGCATCGACTTATCCACTGGATAAGGATTTATCCATCAGATAGCTTTATCCACCCTTCATTCAACCGGGCCCTAATATTTTACACTAGACGTGGCTTGATCGATCCGGCGCGATTTTCATATGACGTCATCATTAATTAACAACATCGAATATGACGCGATAAGAGTTAATTGGGCTTCGCGCGCCCTGGCTTGGCTCATAATGAAATGTACAATTTCTGCAATGCATTAGAAAGAGTTTTCCTTGGGATAAGTCGCAATGACTGGTCAAGAAGATGAAACGGATTTCAAACTGGATGACACTTTCACGTTCTTTGATGAAAAATACTCCAGAATGATGATGCGGAGAATCAACGAACTTCGACAACATGGGGCCATGTGCGATGTAATCATCAAAGTAGAAGACGCGCAGTTTCTTGCTCACAGGAATATCCTCTCGGCTAGTTCGGATTACTTTTTGGCCATGTTTAACGGCAATATGAAAGAAAGTAAACAGGAGATTATAACCATCACGGGTGTGAACGGAGAAAGTATGAAGTCAATACTCAACTTTATTTACACTGGCGAGATCGTTCTTGATTGGAATAATGTCGAGTTGATCCTGCAAGGCGCAAATCTCATGCTCGTGCAATCTGTTAAAGACGCATGCTGCCGCTTTCTCGAAAGTCGCCTCAATGTTACCAACTGCTTGGGTATTCAATCCTTTGCTGAGACATACGCGTGTCATGAACTGTGGCACATTTCGAGCGATTATATTTACATGAACTTCGTCCATGTTTCAGAAAGCGAAGAGTTTAAGAGCATTTCGCTTAAGAATCTTAATATTTTGCTAGCGAGTGACGACATATCTGTAGAAAATGAGGAAAAAATTTACGAAGCACTCATAGGATGGATTTACCACGACTTACCGAAGAGACGCGAACACTTTCCGGATTTGTTGGAGCTTATTCGCTTGCCTTTAGTTTCACCTTATTATCTTGTGGACGTCGTAGAGAAAGAAGAATTAATGTCGCTGGCCCCGAAGTGCAGAGAACTTCTTCTTGAAGCACAGCACTTTCATATGCTTCCAGACAGAAGAGCTTCACTCGACAATGGGAGAACAAGGCCGCGAAACTACGAAAGATTTCATGAAGTGTTGATTGCTATTGGTGGAAACGGTGACTTTACTAACTTCACAACAGGTTTGTTTGATTAAAAAATTATTTGTTTTCAAAAGCATACATATATTTCTTGCATCATATTTTGTCGACGCACGGATTTGACAACAAGAGCAAGAAAAATATGATTCGCGACTAAAGAAGAACAAAAAACAAAAGCGTTTATTTAATTATTTTTCTGTGTTTAATGTTTGCTTTGTGGTCATCAAAATTGTATGCTTGACTATTTGGAACCAAAATTTCCAGYCTTTAGAAAATGCGCAAAAGCACTACGGATTTTGTGGATTTTCAAGTTAACATGGGCAGTCTCTAGAAAGGGGGTATGCGCGAATACACACTGATTTTTTTTCCTTAAGCATTTTCATTCAACGTCATCACCAATCAATGGAACGACCTTCCAAAGCTACCAAAAGATCGTGGGTACCACGGACTATCAAACTTAGGTGGTCAGCTGTATATTACTGGAGGATATTCAACGATAAACTCCGAGACACTAGATACAGGTAGGAATCATTGCGCATCATATATACTTTTCTTGATTTACCGATTTCTCCTTTGAGAAAATTATTGCWTGAATCCTCTTGTTTTACGAAAACGGTTAATTGGTTGAGCACGCTTAACCTAGTTGGATTCAGTTGCGCTTCTTTAGTGAACATAGAGTGAACGATGTATGCTATTACACAAAAAACCTTCACATTTTATCGACACCTTGTCAGAGCACGGCGCACTCGCAGATAGCATTGGAATGTAGCTTCTTAGGTTTTGCGGAGGAAGACCGTTGAACCCGGAGAAAAACCCTTGCATTAATTAAGTAATAGAGACCCAACARACTCTACTCATGTATGATGCAGCGAGCGCCGAGTCCAGGAATCAAACCCAAGACCGCAGAAGTGAGAGATGAGTGATCTACCTCTACGCTATCCTTGATTCCCCAGATCATGACTCGCGTCCTACACGCCTGGACTTACACCTTCCCTATTTTGTGAGCTGCTTTGACAAATGAACCAAGCTTACCTTCATCCGTAGCTCTCGCTTTTCTTAATCAAAACGAAAACGAAACCTTGCAATTCCTTGAGTTTCTCTGTGATTTTCTAGTCATGCGATACGACGTACGTGAAAAACAGTGGCACAACGTACCATCGATGAACTCACGGCGTAGCAAGCATGGCATGGTTGAGGTGGATGGAAACATCTTTGTGGTTGGAGGATTTGATGGGACGTCAACTGTCAGTTCTATGGAGAGTTACAATGTGCAAACGAATAGGTAAGTAGATGCGCATTCACTAGGACTTTAAAAAAATTATAATAGATTGTGAAGTAAAAACCAGAGTTTTGAAATGCGAAACTGCATAGTTTCAATAGGACACAAGGTATATACTGCCATTCTATAGGTAACAATCACTCCCATGAAATCATGCATCCTTGATCTGCTAGTATTAAAGCACGTTAATGGCATGGCACAACGATGAAATGATTACCCAAATTTTCATGCGCTGCCTCAAATAATAACGGATATTGGAAAGTACATTGCGGCTACCTTTCAATTATGAATTTGCTTTCGGTATCGTTACCCACTTAAATAAAATCTGCTCTTAGTTTAAATTTGAACGCATTATTGCTTTTTAAATTTCTTTTCTGTTGTAATAGATGGAAAACCCGTGCTCCTATGCCAACGAGAAGGCGCTGCGTCTGCGCTGTGGCCCATAATAAATTTCTTTACATCATTGGCGGGCATGACGGATCGAGTATTCTGAACACAGTAGAGAGATATGATACTACAAGGTAAAGGCGCAACACACAGTGCAACATTGCGCGCAATATAGCAGGCAGCATTGCGGGCAATATAGTAGGCAACAATGCGCGCAACATAGCAGGCAACAGTGCGTGCAACATAGCAGGCAACAATGCGCGCAACATAGCAGGCAACAATGCGCGCAATATAGCAGACAACAATGCGCGCAATATAGCAGGCAACAATAAGCGCAATATAGCARGCAACAATACGCGAAATATAGCAAGCAACAATGCGCGCAATATAGCAGGCAACAGCGTGCGCAATATAGCAGGCAACAGCGTGCGCAATACAGCAGGCAACAGCGTGCGCAATATAGCAGGCAACAATGCGCGCAATATAGCAGGCAACAATGCGCGCAACAAATGCTGTGGGATAAGGCCCGCAACATCGATTTCCTGCAACATTGCGCGCGATGTTGCACCGTGTGTCCGTATCAAGCTCACCTTTGACATTGTATGATCGTTTTCAGAGACATTTGGAATTCCACTGAAGTCCAACCAATGAGAGATCGAAGATCCTTTCCTTGCGCCGTGGTAACCGAGGACAATATGTACGTCATGGGCGGTTACGATGGCAACGACACTCTACGAACTGTTGAAATGTACAACTTTACGACCAATCAGTGGACCTCGATGCCATCAATGTATGTCCCAAGATCCAACGCGGGTGCGGCGGTTTTTAACAAGAAGATCTATCTGGTAGCAGGTTGGGATGGCATCAGCCTGAATTCTGTGGAATGCTTTGATCTTTCTACACGAGAGTGGCAAAGACTTCCTTCCCTTCCTAGACCAACCACAGGAGTGCGTTGCTGTTTTCTTAGCTTCCAGTCGTCTAACGAGCAGAAACCTAAGGGCAAGAACGGTAAAGGTCACTTCTGTATCATTTGCTAGAACAAGATTATTAGATCTTAGATGTTAGTTGAGAACCAAACTGAGTATTGATGATAAGAAAACATTGTATACRTGACTTGATATTTTTGAATCCAATCAATTGGTCTTTTGGTTTGTTTGTTTGTTTATCGTAAATAAAGTCTGTTTGCGATCATGAATGTTGTGGTGTAGTGTTTGATATTCCGCGCACCACTGCCACCAACGACATCAATTACATTAGATATCATCAAGAAGCACAGTTATAATAGCTGCAGAACACTACATATATGTTATTTACCGACCAGGAGGTCCATATAGGGAAAAACTGTGCCCGAGGTCAAGACCGAGGGCACAGTTTTTCCCTATCCGGACCGACTATAGGACGGTAAATAACTTATTCCATTTTTCCCGTATTTTTTTAAACTTGTTTTTGTAATCGTTTTACTTTGGTGTTTAGCGGCAAAGGAAACCGGACCGCGAGCGCGGGCAGATACTGACAAAATACCGCCCGCTCAAACAATCTATGTTAATTTACATATACACAAACATTATTTTTTACTTTCTAACTTTTTAATCAAATGATAACGTGGGAATGGCAGTTCGCATCAATAGTTTTCTTGTCACATGGAGTCAGCTGAATAAATCATCGTTTTCTTAACAAAAAATGGGTGTGGAGGAAGAATCTCTTGGGAACAGAAATACAAAGAAATGAGATAGATCTAGGGTTTCAGTAAGAAAAAAACAATTAAGTTCTGCAGACAACATATGTGAATTGAGTTTGTTTGATGCATGTCGTTCTCTTCCTTGCTACGAGGGTTTTCTCATCGCGCACTAACCAACTGGGCTAAGCCTGCTCATGAATTCCTCTCTCAACACTAGTTTATTAAACTTACATTAAATGCTCACGTGACATGAGAATTAAAAACGCGGAAAAATGAGGAAGTAATTTGAATCGCGTATACTTTAAATACAAAGTACGAGGTCAGGATAGATCAGTTCAGTTTACCATGTCGAAAATGGTTTCAGGTAAGACTCTGCTGTCGTTCGTAGTGATTCTTTTCTTGGTGGCTTGTGTTCTAGAGGTACATGAGGTGCAAGGTACGAGTCTCACGAACAGAGATCAAGGACAGAATCAGACGGAAATGATGGAACTTTTGAAGAAATTGCAGGCAAGGTATGTTACGTACTGAAAATATTGGTATTATGAACTTGACTGATGGACGCATGCGTCTGTATGGAAGTCTGAACAGTGTTATATATATCTCCGGATACGTTTTTGATGTAGGGAACATTTTTGAAGGTAGTTGTTTACTAACTAAAGCTGTTCTGTGAAATCACCAAGGACCAAACATGCTAAATTTCTATTCAATCTGTGAGTTAGATGTGCCCTAACTTGAATCAGCCCAGAAGGTGTTTGAGGTTCGATAAAATTGATGTTTAAAGACTTATGGATGACAGTGATGATTGATTATCTAAGGACCACCCGGCTAGCTCAGTTGGTAAGAGCGTTGAGCGTTGGTAAGAGCAAACATGCTAAATTTCTATTCAATCTGTGCATTAGATGTGCCCTAACTTGAATCAGTCCAGAGGGTGTTTGAGGTGCGATAAACTTGATGTTTAAAGACTTGTGGATGACAGTGATGATTGATTATCTAAGGACTGATATCTCTTTCAAGTATTCAAAGGTTACGTGTTATATTCAGGGAGTTTAGGAACCTATCATTTATCGACCATTTGAACAACAAAACATGTACATGTCTGCCAACATTTTCACCAGAAGTAAATCAAGACGTTTCTTTTCTCCTCAGAGTAAAGCAACTGGAAGGCAAGGAAAAGTCATGCTTGCAAGGTGAGAAGTTTGCAGTTACATTTCTTGCCCGCGTGTGTTTTGTTTCTTTGTTTATCGTTTCCTTTTTTCCTGTGTTCCATTACTAACTGGGACTCAATTCCACGTACTGGGATTCAGGAAGAGATGGTCGTGATGGAATGCCTGGACCACCAGGTAAGAAAGAATAAACCACCTGTTCTAAATCAAATGTTAAGCACACAACAAATCTCTGTTCTAAGTACTTTTTTCTTCTTTTTCTCCATTGCATTACCCTTTTCTTGTTATTACTATAGTTTATCACAAACGGCCATTCTTCAACTTCTCCTCCTCCAACGTACATCTCCTCCACCACTACCTCTTTCTAACCCCCCTTAACGCTCACTCTACATCCTCCAACAACATCTCCTCCACCACTACCTCTTTCTAACCCACCTTAACGCACACTCTACATCCTTCAACTACGATCCTACTCATCTGATAACTCATCCTCCAAAAATGAATAAGGTTGGTCATTATCAACCACCTATAGGTGCACCAGGTTTCACAGGTATACCAGGACCGCAAGGTCCACCTGGTCAAGGAGGGGTGGTGTACATACGATGGGGAAGGACAACATGCCCTTCGGATACTACAGTTGTTTATCAAGGTAGGCGTTCAATCACTAAACTGATGCTTCAGGTTACTTACTCATCCATCCATCCATTCATTCATTAATTCGGCATCAACCCTCTTCAATTTCTTAATTACTTAATCATGCACCCACTGACTCCCTCACCCACCTATTATATTTGATTCAGGTCGTACTGGTGGCCAGTACTACACGTCCACGGGAGGAGGTTCTAATTACGTGTGTCTCACCTTAAGCCCAAAATTTGGAAAGTACAAAGATGGTCTTAATAATAACGGATACATTTACGGCTCGGAATATGAGATTGCTTACTTCAACCCTCTCACCAACAAAAACCTTCAACATCGAGCTGCTCCGTGTGTAGTCTGCCACGTCCAAACCCGAAGCACCAAGCTGATGGTCCCTGGAACGTACGCGTGTCCCGCGGGATGGAGGAGAGAATACTGGGGATACCTGATGAGTGAAAAGCATGACCACAAACATACCACAGAATACATCTGTGTAGATAAAGATGCCGAATACGCTGCAGGAGGTAGCGGTAACCATGGTGCCCTGCTGTATCCAGTTGAAGGACGCTGCGGTTCTTTGCCTTGTGGTCCATACGTAGAGGGTCGTGAACTGACATGCGCAGTGTGTACCAAATGAGCAACAAAACAATACATAAGGCAATGAACTACTGGCCAACGAAAAGTGATCCTGGACAACACAACACGATTACTTCGATTTTAGTTCTCAAACTATGCTAGATTAAGATGAATTTGTTTACTAATAATAAACCAAAAGATAGATAGATTTAAGAAGCTAATGTAAAAGAATAATAACTGCATAAATGAAATGTGAGGAAAGTGCGAGAAAAAGTCAAACCCAGAAAAATAAAATAGAAAGCAAATAAAGCAGATGACGAGCATCAACCTTTTGTGAACATAGTCATTCAGTTTATCCATCCATCCATCCATCC